ATACGTATACGTGTATGCAGGTTGGATGACAATGTTATTTCGCAATCCACTTCATCCTTTTCACATTAAAACACGAAGAAATTGCATGAGAAGCCAAGATTCAAACATTTCACTTATACGGTGACATTCATTCCATGCATGAGACCAGAAAGCCACTGCCATCACTCGATCAACTAAATGATAGGTACCCGGCACGGTGAATATACAGCTTGTTGGAAATGTTGAAATTCTACAAATTACAGGCCATCGCACATCTTAAAAATTTGATATGTTCAAAAAATATTGCCAAACTATGAAAAAACAGGAACAGATAAAGAAAAAAACCCTTAAGCTGCATTTGGCACAGTTCAAAAGTCAATGTTTACATTGACGTTTTGTGTGCGGCCATTTTGCTAATCGCCAGTAACTTTAGAGAATACTCAGTGAAATCGATACACGAAGACTTATTCGGTGTATAAAATGTAACTTAAGCATATACTGTATTGTCCCGTCAAATTCATTAGTATTTAAATCTACTGTTCATTCCACAAACACATGTACAACTTACCTGTCTCTATGCCTTCGTCTCCCGCCAAATTTTTTTGGGTCTACCACTCCACGTTTTGAAAACGAGGCCAAATCTAATATTTTCCAAAATAACCGTCAAATCAGCCAGTGGCTCCCGGGCTGAATGGCCATCGCACGGAGATTGTTCTCTATCGTTTTTATCGAAACGAGTCTCTCATTTGAAAAGAGTTGCTGATAACAACATGATGGATGGCAGCAAGGAGGTCGACAAGCTCAATAATTCCGGTGAGTTACCGATATATTACAAGTAATTGACTGGAAGTTGGGTAAGGGGATAATACTTTGTTGATATAGAAGATCATCATTCTGTAATATTCAAATCATTTTAAATAATCCAGCAGGTTAAATATGCCAACTCGAAGTCTCGTAACTTTCAAAAAGTTTCATCGACATATGGCAACAACCAGCACCACCAACCTTATACCCCCTCCCCAATACACTTGTGCGCGCGTTCGTTTACACATCATATCGTTAGCTGTGGTGTTCATTAGGAGTGCACACCCTGTATATTATTTTAGTTTTTAAGTTTTTTTTTATATATTAGTATTGTCAAGAAAGAGAAAACTAGAATCAGAGCCCTCTCAACAACCCAGCGGTACCAACAGTTCAGTAGCACAACAGGACCAAAACAAGTGTAAGGTGGAAGACGGCTTCTCCTGGTGGACTTGTATGCAGTATAATATGCCAATGGAGAAGTCCAAACCACATGCAATTAATAAACAGTAAGAGCATTTTAAATAAATAAATAAATAGTACATTTTGATACATTAATGAATTCCAGGATTAGTTTTCCTTTAGCTAAGAGGCTGTTGTTTTTCAAGTTTTTTATGATAGATTTTGTTTAATGCATTTTTAAAATAAAAATGTAAAAAAGTTTAATAAATGTTTTCATATTTTCAAGAATTCCCGATTATCCGGAATTGCAAACCCACAAAAATAAAATAAAATAAAATTCTCCCATCTTACCCAGAACACCATCTGTTTTGAGGAAGACCCATTGTGTGTAATATTCACAGGAACAATATTACTGACATATGAAAGCAGATTTTTAAAGAGGAAAATCTGGTGATCTAAAAAATGAACTACCCAGCTGATGCTGCACAGATGTACAGAATGATGAAAATGAATGTCAGTGTAGGTGGTTAATATACAAAATCAGTTATCATTATGTGTGGTGACTTCAAAACCTTTTTCTGGGGTGGGTAACAATATAATGGTGAAATGGACTTCACTGGCCAAGATGACCAGTGTTGTGATAGGACCCTTGAAAAAGAAATAGATGATATCGACCAGAGTGACCAATGTCCAGAAAGACTACTTGTATCAGAAAAGAATAAGACTGACCAGTATCCTGAGAGGCCTGTAGAGCCCCTGGCCAGTGACTGCTGTGGCTCAGGCTGTATTCCATGTGTGTTTGACCTGTATGAACAAGAGTTAAAGCTTTGGAAAGAGGAGTGCAGAAAGATTCGACAAGGAGGCAAAGAGATTTGTGATCAAGAGGTACAGATGAAAATTTAAACTGTTTTGTGCGTATGAATTTTTTTCTCACGTGCAGAATATTGCAAATCAATTTTTTTGTGTGTTTTTTATTGGGATTTTAGTGTGCATGTAAAAACATCATGTGTTTTTTTACTGCAAAATAGATGGGTTTACTGTTTTGACAAGTATTAAAACATATTTCAGAATCAAAGAGATTTATGAAGTTAAGATTTAGCCCTGACATTTTTTGTCAAAGATTTTATAAATTTTGTTTTCAGGTGTAAGTTACAGAATGATGTTTTTGTTCAAGTTCTGGAGTGCTTCTGAAAAATCGACCAAAATATTCTAATTCTATTTTTGAATAAATGTCAGGGAATATTGCTTGTTTTAGGTTCTTTGTCCAGAGAAATATTTAGGATTTAAACTGACCAGTATCAAACCAGTGACTAGGGACACTTTCATGTACAGATTTGACATCCCAGGAGGTGCACGACTTGGTTTGAAAGCTGGACAGCATATTGTGTTAAGGTAATCAGCTTGTCATACACGTCATATACACTAATATACTAATACATATGCCTTTGGTATGTTACATATAAAGCAGATTGGATTATTTTAATATTAAAAACTCATTCTGTCAATTGAGCAATACATTTTATTTGCAACAAGAACCATTTTAAAATTTGATTTGACGTAATGAACATAAACAATTGTATGCACAGGTGCAGTTTTTGCACATATCAGTAAGCAGCATCTTTTAATGCTGTATCATGGTATTTGGACACTTAACATTTTTATATAAGATAAACTTACAGCATTTGAAGTAAGTTAAAATATCTGTGTACTGATCATTTTACAGGGGGAGCATAAACAATCAGACAATTACCAGACAGTATACACCAGTGAGTGAGCTAACTGCACAGGGATATTTTGATGTATTAATCAAGTTGTACCCAGGTGGGCAGATGTCACAGTGTATAAGGTCATGGAAAGAAGGGGACCTTATACAGTGGAGAGGACCCTTTGGGTTATTGCAGTATGTGCCTAATGTTGTGAGTTTTTCATTATATCTTCTCCAGAAAGAATGGTTGATGGTAACATTTAAATGTTTTTTTTTTTTACACTTAAATCCTCAGTGGAAATATCACTTTGGATTTAGAGTTCATTGAATTCTTTCAGTCCAACAAGTATGAAAACTAAACAGAATTTAAGTGTTTGGATATTAAAGATTTAATTAATATCTGCAAGTTTTAGTTGTTATTGTGGAGATTGGGAAAAATTGCTTTCAGAAATGCCTTGTGAATGAATGTGACATGAAAGTTTATGTAAATGGACACTTTGGTACTGAATGTTTCCATCTATGACTCTCCTTAAGGTAATGCGTACCTTTTTTATTTATTCTTTAGTTTAGTAAAATAATAATGCTAGCTGCAGGCACAGGGATAGCCCCAATGACTCAGGTGATCAGAGTGATACTAGAGAATGAAGATGATGAGACACTGATCAGTCTGGTATATGCCTGTAGAACGTATGAAGACATACTGATGAAGGAGCAGCTTGACCAGTGGTCAGGTTACTGGAACTTCTCTGTGCAATATGTTTTAAGTCAAGTAAGTTTATGATGTCATTTATGATTGACTTTATGTGTTTCTTACAGGCACAGCAAGGAAAATTTGATTGGCCAAAATGAAATGTTTTCCATGTATTTATAATGTCATTTTGTAAAATATTTAGCTTTTCTTGTTTATAAGTACAAATTATAGTGGATCATATCATACCTGGAGGTTCTTATTGGCAGTTGAGACAGTATTCAAAATACGGTAATGTGCCATGAATTTCGAACAGTAGAAAATAATTAAATTTGGGAAAAGATCGTTCTGGCCGAAATTCATGAAATGGAGGTGCTCAGGACTTCTGAAAGTTCGAATTTCATGGAATTCTGTCAATTTTGACCGGAAGTTGTCTGTTCGTCGCTAGGCCTTCTGTTATCTTCTCCCGACGATCTATTTAGAGTTACCATAATGTATGATGTGTGAGTGTCGGTAATTGCGACCAAAGGTATACACGTACTTTCACCCGATCACTGTGTATGGCAAATAGGTAGAGCGGTACTGTTGTCTAGGGCCGCAAAACAGCATCGTTATCAGTAGTGTCGTTTTTCAAAAGCGATTCTG